ACAGGGTTTCTGAGGCTGTAAATCTTTATGGGAGCAGAACGCCTCATCTTTCTCCCGTGGAACAGCTGGTAGTTTCAAACTGCTGACCCTGAGGTTCACAGCCCGATTTGTAACCACTATGCTACCAGAGCTCCTTATAAGTACATATAGCACCGTAAATAAAATTTATGTCCAGAAAAGAATGTTATTACCACAAAAGAATAAATACTAAAAAATTTACAATTTTAGCACACTACAATTAATGTCATTGCCCAAACAACTGACCTAAAATGGAAAGAAAGAGAAATTAGAGAGCCAGAACAAAGCAATTCTAAATTCTGCAGGTCCCAGAAATAATGAATCTAAGGATGAAAACAATTTAAAATGTCCTAGGACATTATATATGTATGTGCATGTATGTATGTATATATATATATACACACACACACACACACACACACAGCTAGACAGATAGGGTATGATACAAACAGCTAAAAACAGGTGTTATTGGGACACATATTTCTGAAGTAAGTCTCCTCAAGTTGGGAGAGGTTGGCCAAGAAATACGGCAGTGTGCAGCTATCCATTTTGTTTTACACTGCAATCAGAAAAGCACCCATCAGTACTCTGACTTGCAGTGAGTTCTGATAAGGGCACAGAATTCTGAACCAAGGATTCTTGAAAAAGAAGGAAAGATAAAGTGCTTACCGTATAAAGCTCATTAAGAACCTTCATTAAATCCTCATGAAGTTGGAATGCAATCTCTTTGCTCTGTAATTAAGAAGAAATTAAGAAAGAATGTTTACTTAGAAATGTAATACAAAGCTGATGCTAAATTATTTAAATCTTAAAAAGTCCACTAATTGAAAATAGAAGAATGCATGCAACATAGTGAAAGACCAGCCATACCCTCATATAACTGAGTTTCAACTCAATGGCATTTTGTAAATGCTAGGTGATATGAACTGATTGATGGTCACTACTGACTGAACCCAAGCAAATAAGTGGACAGCATGAATGGCTCCCACCATGCAAATCAGACTCTACCAAGAAAAGGCAGGCAAAGGATTGCACCTGCTCAGAATTAATGTCATTCCGGTGTGGCATCAGAGGTAAGCACACCACCTCAAGGTCGGTTTGAACCACAAAGTTGGTGGTTCAAACTCACCAGCTACTCCTCGGACACCCTATATAGGATCATGATGAGTTGGAACCAACTCTATGGCACTTAACAACAAAATTAACTTGACCATTCTGTCTATCACACCTCAGTATCATCACAAAGGATTTTGTGATTCTCAAAAACCTAAGTCAGAAATCAAATTGAAATGTAACCCCTTTCCAAAAGAAGTTTGATTACATTTTTAAGAAATCATTGAGCCCCTTTGTGTGTATGTATACAAAATTTCTTATCTATTTTAAATAGCATAGTTAGCTTTTTTTCTGTTTTGAGTTTATTAGAATAGGGACAAAAAACAAACTGTGTAGCTAAATGTGCACTTTGAGACAATATAAACAACTTCCTGCTGTCTCCTGTATGTGCCTCCCACTAGACTGTCAGTATTGAGGGTAAAGGCCATATTTTAATCAGCTCAGCAACTCCCGTGTCCTGCGCAGTCCATGGACACAGGGTCAGGGCTAGGGGGAGGCAAGTGAGATGCCAAGGGTGTAGAACTGAAGGAGACATTCACTCTCACCCTAATCTTGGTCCTTCTTGACCATATAACGCTTCTAACACATGCTTGCTGAATGAATTCATAAAAACAAGCTGAAATTGTGGGGCAGTCATGACATTTGGTGAAGCTTCCCTGCTTGTAACTGCTAAGAAGCCAAGAGGGAAAGGTCCACAGGCTACAATGAAGAAAATACTAGGACCCAGGTGCAAACACAGGGTCATTGGGCCAGGCCTCAAAAACGGCCAAACGTGATGAAGCAAAGATGCTTGATGATAAAGTAAGGTGGGAAGATGTCATCAGAGCAATAACACCTGAACTTTGCAAAATTCAAATTCATTAGTAACATCTGTCACTAGGTCTTCCTGGAGTGAAGATAGGACTGCTGTTTATCAAGCTTAGACAGCTTCTAAAACCCCCAAATGAGAATTACGGATTCTATGTTTTGCTATGTCTTTGATAAGTAGTTGTTGTTCAGTGCTGTCAAGTCAATTTTGACCCATAGCGACCCTGTATAGGGTTTCCAAGGAGCAGCTGGTGAGCTTGAACCGCCGACCTTGCAGTCTGGCGTATTAACCCACTGCAACACACCAGGACTCCTTGATAAGCAGAGGGGTGGGATTAAAAAATCACTCAGGAGTGAAATGAAAGTCACAAGTAAGCAAAGGAAGCCAACTGAAATTTATTTCCCTCAGGTCCTGGTTATTCTGACATATTATACAGTATACATTATACTGCAGTCTTCCTACGACTTCAGCTTGGTATTTTTTAAATATCAGATTTCATTCAAGGATCTAGGCCACCAATTCAGAACCCTCTAATGGGGTCAAAGGCTACCAAGTAACTTTGCTCAGCTGCCCATGTTTAACGAGGCAAGTCCAAAAAGAAAATACTTCTTAGCTAAGATTTTAGAACAAAACAAAACAAAATAAATCCCTCATGTGTAATTAGCGCCTATGTAAAAATGTTCAGAGTCAAATGGAAAACTTAAGTTTGGGGTTACACGGACCCTCCCAAGCTACCCTAGACCAAATGTGTCAGAAAAAGCATGACTGATTTGTTTCACATTTTATAAGGTTTCAGGTAAACCTGGCATCATAGACAGACTGCCTTCTGTCAAGGATACATTCACATTTTGCATTTACTTTTTCCCAGAGGCCCTGAAATATGTGTATATATTTCCGTTTGTCCGAGAGATAGAATAGCTTAAAAGCAAGGTTTCTGGAATCAGAATGACTGAGTTTGAAGTTTCAAAGACTTTGGATCTCATTGTGCGTCTGTTTTCTGATCTGTAAATGAAGCTAGTCACCATACCTATCTCAAAGGGCTGCTGCAGAGGTTAGAAATGAACAGCACCTAATACAAAGCAAATGCTTCACAAACCTCAGGGTTTGAGTGTGTTTCTGAGGCACTGTTTGGAGATGGCAGCTCCCTTGAGTGGAAAGATCACATATTTTTCTTTTGGTCTCTTCAAACCAAACCCACTGCCATGTGTCAATTCCAACTCACAGATAACCCATAGGACAAGGTAGAACTGCCCATAGGGTTTGCAAGGCTGTAATTTTACAGAAACAGACTGCTACATCTTTCTCCTGTGAGTCACTTCTGTTGTTGTTGTTGATTAGTGTCATCGAGCTGGTTCTGACTTAGAGTGGCCCTGTACAGGGCTTCTGAGGAGCAGCTGGTGGATCTGAATTGCCGACCTTGCCGTTCAAACCGACCTTGTGGTCTCATGCTTATCCTACAACGCCACAGTTCAGAATGCAGACCTTTCGGTTAGTGGCTGAGTGCTTTAACCATGGCACCACCAGATCTCTTTTGGTCTCTTACCATTTCATTGGTTTCACATGAAAAGCACTTGATAGGTGCTGGCTGATTTGATTTTGATGCTCTGACTACACTACCCTTCTGCTTAGTTTCCTTGAAGTGACTGACTTCAAAGGGCCCCAAATATAGGTTCCCAGCTTTCCTTATGTCCATGAATGGACACACTAAATGTACCTTCCTAAGTTCTATTTTCTACTGGAGTCCTGGTGTGGCACTGTGATAAGCACTGAACTTCAAGGTCAGCAGTTCAAACCCACCCGGCACTCCTTGGAAACCCTATAAAGGGTTGCTATGAGTGGGAACCAAATCAATGGTAATCGATAACATTGGGATAACAACAGCTAGTGGTACTGCACAAATTAATCAGCATCACTGAGGAAATGGGTACATCTTCAAGACAACATGATAAAACATACAGCTTATGAAAAAGATCAGTAAAGAATAACCACACAGTGGGAATGAGAGGTATCTTGAGAAGTTGGTGGGCGTTCTTTTCAGGCAGGTAGACCTCCATCTACTCTCATACCAAACACATCAGCAAAGTCTCTGCCTACTTGTCCACTTTGAATTACAGTCTGAATCTTCCAGAATCTATTAAAGAACCTAGAAATGAACTGTTTCTTCCCATAACCTCCCCTTTGGTCTGCAAAGGCTGTTCAAACCCAGCTGCTTCGTGGAAGAAAGATGTGAAAATCTGCTTATGTAATGATTACAGGCTAGGAAACCGTCTAGGGCACTTTTACTCTTCCTGTGGGTTAATGCACCAAACTGAAAGCTGTTTGAACTGCAAGATTCAAGCTCACCAGCAGCTCCTTGGAAACCCTATACAGGGTCGCTATGGGTCGGAACCGACTCGATGGCACTTCACAACAACAACAATAGGGTGGCTATGAGTCAGAATCAGCTTGATGGCAAGAAGTGTTTTGGTTTATGCTAAGTGTTGGGGACCTGGAGACAAGGCAAGAGTGCTCCCTGTCTCCATGGCTTGGAAACAAGGCAAGGACAACTTTCCATCAATGGATTCAAGCAGTTTGACCTATGCCATCACAAATGCTGATCTGAAAACGTATCTCTCATTCTGTGTTACTGACTTCCAACACAAATTCCCAGACATGAAATGAGCAGGATAAAAGTCTGAACATTTTGAAGACTCTTCATGCTTGTAGGAAAATAAAATTCTAAAAGGGTTACAATGAATGTATGTTGCTTTCAGGATAACAGTGGAAATGAGAGCAAGAAATCTGGGGTTCCCCCAAGACTCTCTTCTTCTTAAAGGAGAAGTCACTACCCTTACCTATTCTGGCTGACTCATTTTTTCTGTCGTAACATTACAATTTTTTTTTCCTAGATAAAGATATCCTTATAATTACAATCCTTTAAAAGACTTGCTATATTTTTTCAGGATACAGTTCAAATTTCTTACCTTACAGGTCAGGACATACTTGCACAGTATACATACTTTAAGTCCAAAGCTTGTTGTGATCATATGTCTTTATAATAATAATTGTAAAAAGAAGGAAAACAAACAAAATAAAAACAGATTCTGTTGAGTCTGTTCTGACTCAGGATGACTCCAAGTTTTCTCTGATCCTTCCTCTTTTTCAAACCTTGTGTGACCCCCCTCAAAAAAGGTGGGGTTTTGTTGTTGTTTTTTTAAAGTAGATGAGCGGGCCTTTTTCTTTGTGTTTGCACTCTTTTCGTTTGCAAAAAGACTGTTATCATTGAGAGAATCAGCCTTCATAGTAACAGATGCCCTTAACTTATATAAACTCTGAAGACAGCAGCAACATCATGTCCAAGACATATGGTGGGAAAAGTTGGGTTGAACTTAATGGCCTGAATCAAGCTTCTGGATGAGATTTATAGTGTGGTTTCTGTACATTTTATCTGCAAGGGTCATGGTTTCATACATACCAAAATCATAACTAAACAGCTGGGCATGAAATCAACTTTACTGTCTACTTTATAAGGAGCCCTGGTAACACAGTGGGTTAAGCATTGGGCTGCTAACCTCAGGGTCGGCAGTTCAAATCCACCAGCTGCTCTGCGAGAGAAAAATGAGGCTTGCTGCTACCATAGAGATCTATAGCCTCAGAAACCCTATGGAGCAATTCTACTCATTACTTGGGGTCAGGGTGGGGGAAAGAATACATATTTTTTAAAACAAAACTCTACTCGACTAGAAAAAAGAAATTCAAAGAGTTATAGATACAAGACCACAGTTCAATTTTGAAATGAGTCAAAACTTAACCCTAAAGAGAAATACCCAGG